AGCGACGGCGACGTTGGACGTCGGGGGAGGAGGGAGGGGGGGGGGCGGTAAGTCGGGATGTAAATAGGTGTAAAACTTTACGACGTGCATATGCACGAGACGACGGTGCACCGAACGAGGATATGGAACAAGGGTGTGGTGGCGGTGGCGTTGTGCAGGAATATGGCAACTGGAATTGCACAGTGCTACAGAGGGAACAGGAGGCTGGGATAGAGGGAGAGAGAGAAAGCGCAACGTGAGAGAGAAGGGGATGTTGGATTGGGGAGGGTGTGTGCACCAAAGAGAACGAGAGGGAGCGACAGAGAGAAAGGGAGATAGAGACAGCGCAAGATCGAGCGAGACGAGGCACGGGGGTGAGAGCGAGAGCGAGATAGAGGGACCGCGACGATCAATACGCCATCAGCTTAAATTACAATAATAACGCCGGCCAGACAAAGCGCCATTATAAAATAGCATGGCCGTAAAAGGCCGCGCGGCGTCACGCTGTCCGAGATCGGTCCAGGGGACAAACACCCTCCCTCCCCGTCAAGGAAAGACGGGAGAGAGATGGAAACGTTTAATCGTTGCTAAAAAGGAGAAATAAAACGCACGTTATTCGGCGGACCGTATCTCTCTTACCAACCCTCTCCGTGTTCTCGGCAAAGACGCCGAGAAATTGGACGCTCGTTTAATCGTCATTATCGTCGTCGCTGCCACTCCGTCTTCATACGGGACGTCGGTAAATTCAACCCCTTCGCGGCCGGACACAATTGCGCTCGACGTTTCCGTCGACGTGACGGAGCTCAGTTTATTGATTCTATTAGCCGCGATAAAACTGCGCGTCCCGAAATTTACACGCGGGTTTCATCGCGAATACGACGCTCGCATGCTGCCATCGCGTAAAATGAGAGATTTACATTCGTTTCCCCGATGTCTCTCCCTTTCTTCGCATTTTCGCGAGGGTGCGCTGGATTTCGTGATATCGACGGCTTTGTCTATTAAATCGCTCTTACAATCGTTGAGATTGACACATCTGAAGAGAGAAGTGAATGATGGCATTTTCGACTCGAGACGATATTTTAATTTTTAACTTCTTGTCGGCGTTTCAATTATAAATTTAAATTTAACGCCATACGGTTTCGGCTAAAGTTGATTTTTTAAATCTTTTTTAATTGTTTTTCGTGATATAAATAAATGCATAATGCAATTATGAAAGAAAATAAATGTCCGATCGAAATGAAAATCGGCATTAAAAATTTCTAACGTTGAAATATGGAATTCAAATGGCAAGATTAATAGCGGCGAGAAATACGAGATTGGAAACTTCCAGCGGAGGTTTCGCTTCGGGAAAAGTGCGGGACAATGTATCGCGATTTTTGACGCATTATGTACATTAAAAAGTTAACGCGAGATCTCTGTCTGCTCAGTCAACTCCGTGGAGATTTCTTTCTTAACGACTTTCCGACGAGGCACGTATATATCGTAAAATATCCCGCGGAGAATCGTCTGGATCGAAATCAGCGGGAAGAGCGCGTTTTTCGAGGCTTAAATCCCCGATGACCGTTCGCTCCTAAGATGTGGAACGCGGTAAACACATCGCGCGAGTATGCTTGTTGACTAATAATTTATTAATGCTCATGCAACAATGCATGAGCCAACAGCAATTTGCATACGTTGAATTTCGTTAGGCAAATACACGCGCTGGTTAACATACATTAATAATGCACATGCATCGATAATCGGATATTTCTGAAATTTTGCTGCATTATTAATATGACCGCGTACATACGTCCAAATTGCTTTATCGCGCGTGCGTATGTCGCAAATTTAAATATATTTGAATATCGCAAAAAAAAAAACACGTTCTCTCCACTTTAAATTATAGAAGCTGCCAGGCGGCTACAGATTGATATTTTCGACTTCAACGCTATCACATCGTGTAAAATAAAAATATTAAAATTAATTTACGAATCCAAGTTAAGATGTTATCAATTCTTTATTCTCGCGTGATGGCTTTTCGGATGTTCTCGCTATTATATAATAGGCAACAATGGGAAGTCTTGATTACACAGAAAATTAATTTCTGTGCATTATCGAAACTCGTTGCAGTAATTTAATCATGTTACAGAGTATAAGCATATTAGAGAATCCATTCAATGCATACATCAGATTGTCTTTGCTATAGAATTCTATATATAATTATATATATATATATATATATATATATATATAAATAAAAATAAGATATATATTATTCATATATATTATTAAATTAAGCTCATATATATATATATTAATAATATAATAATTTAATAATAATTTAATAATATAATAATTTAATATATATGAGATTTTTGTTTCTTATTTTTTATACATATTTTATATATATATATATGAGATTTTTATTTCTTATATAAAGAGAATGTTAATGTAAAATTGCGCATTTCTTTTTGCTTGCAAATGCCTTGAGCTAAAATTGTTTTTCTTTAAATAAATATTTAACCAAAATATATTATTAATTGTAGCATTTTTATTTTTAATATTAAATATCATTATAAAAGTCAAGCCTTAATCAAAATAAATATTTTTAAAAATTTTTGAGTATTATATTAGAAATAAGATTTTATAATTAAATTTCAAAAGACATTCAAAAGACATAAATTTAACAAATGTTATGAAAAATATTAAAAAAAACGAATTAAGAATTTATTTTGTGAAAGCATGTTATTGATTTTCTAAAATAATTCTAATTTTTATATTTCTTGGATATTTTTATTGTTACTATTTATTACTATTATTATTATTACTACTACTTACTATTATTATTGTTACTTTTTTTATACTGTTGATAATTTAGGCATGGTACACTGGGCAAAAAGCTGAAAAGATTCCCAACGGATTAATAGGGGTTGTTGGTCATGATTGCCACAGTTTAGATCTTTCCTACAACGAACTGACCACTATTTCCGGAGTAAAAGATTTTGAGCAGCTTCAAGAATTAATCTTGGACAATAACAAACTTGGCGATCTCAAAACATTACCGCACATGCCAACTTTGACTACTTTGAGTTTGAACAATAATAAGGTTTACTATAATTAAAGAAGAAATAATATATTTTTTTATGACATTTAAAAGGAATTCGTGACAATTTATGCAGAAGATAGAGATTTTTTAAAATATTGTTATTAAAAACTTTTTGCAAACTTTTTAACGTTTAAAAAATGTTTTTCTAAATTTATAATAATTTTGCATCGTCTATGAAGTTAATAATAAGCTTTCTTCTTAGATATTCAATATCGACAAAGCTCTTGATAGGATACAAGAATGTTGTCCTAACGTGGAATACGTAAGTCTTCTGGGCAATCCCGGTTGTCCCGATCAATTGACCAATCCGACGTCTACCGATGAAGACGATTACGAACGTTATAGACTATATGCTATCCATATTTTACCATCGAGTCTCCGGTTCCTGGATTCTCGAAGGGTCACTCAACAGGAGAGATTGAATGCTAAGACTCGCGGCAGATACTCCAAGACAATTAAACTCGTTCCAGAGTTAATTCGCAAGTTCGTACCCAATTCGACGAATGCCAATAATGAATTTGATGATATATATTTCAACATCCATTACACGCCCTTGCCAAGCTCGTTACGTAATCCTCAAGATCATAAAGGTGCGTAGTTAAATTAAATAATGAAATAAATTGGTAGTTAAATCTTGAAATATTTTTGATTATATTGTAACTCTAAAAATTTTCATTTTTTTTAAATTATTAATTTTGTAAATTTGTATAGTTGTAAATACATGAATTAACAGCAATAGATTTTTTCTAGGTGCATATGGTAAGTGCAAATATCGATATTCCGGCAAGAACTCGGAGGGCAATAGATTCATCTCGAACAATGATCTTTAATCAATGATTGCATGGATATTTCTAAAATATGGCCTTAAAATATTAAAGTAAACGATTTTTCTAGTCAAATAATAATGTATTGATATTGATGAAAACTTACATAATAAGCAACAAGATATTTCTTTCATAGATCATAACAAAATATTAATAAATATCGCATAGTTAGTAAGTATTATTGACATTAATCATAAAGATATATTTGTAATTTACATTACTTATATTTTGATATCAGTGACCATCGAATTTTAATATAGGTTATGAGATTTATTTTAAAAAAACTATATTTATATAAATAATACAAATTTTACGTAAATAAATTTAAATGTTTATATGTTGAATTAAAACAATAACGCAAAAAATTATTTAAGACATGTTTCTTAAGAAGAAAAATTAAAAGTATAAGATTGTGTAAAATGGAATGGCTTAATTAATTATATAGTTGTATAACATCAAATAAAACAATTTTATAATTTTTCGTGTTCGTACATTTTCTTTATGTTTTTTAGATAATATTCAATATATATTCAATTCGTGCAATTCTCAATAAGTATCTGATTTACGAGTTTATGAGTGATTATGTTTCTATAATAAATAAATCAAGAGGAATTTACGAGTAAACGTATAAAACTTTTTTATTTATCATGTACACCGACGAGCGACATATAAATAAATGTCTAATTCTCTAAGTTTTAACATTACATTTCATAACATTAAGTGCTAACTAACTGGACTAACATACGTAGAGTAACTTGAAGGTTCTAACGGGATAAAAAACGCAATGGGTTATCGTAATAAAATCTTCGACATTCTATTGGTCCGTAAATGCGCACGACGTATAATTATCGCCACGACACTAAATTCATTATTTCAGAGATATCGAAATCTTAATTATAACTATTGTATATCTCAGAATTTATGTTAGTTAATTTAAGATATACATATGACCCTTCAAAAGATAATTGAATTAAAAAGAAAATTCTCATAAAAGTTTTATTTACTGAATTTACTAATTCAATAAATATGCTTCTTCTAGGAGAGTTTGGCGTTTCTTGTTGTTTTTTACATGTTACCTTTACCTATTATTATTTTTATTTAATTTATATCTCTTAGGATATGTACATGACAAATCAAATCAGTTAATTTTGTTTTAAGAAATACAAATTGGAATTCCTTAACTTAAATATACTTTTTCCTTTAATAGTGCATTAAGAAGAAAATTTGAGAATTTTTAAATAAATTTCTAATTTTGCGCGAAGTTCAATTACATTTGAAAGAATGGATTGTCTTCTAAGTGCAATTTTTAATTCATTTATCTTCAGCAGGGAGTTAACGCATATCGTACAAATCTCTACGTAATGTTAAAGGCAGTTTCACAGTTCCCTTTCATTAACCCTGTTTTTTAAGAAGGGAGACAGAGAGTCTAGAGCTAATTACACGCAACGACTTACGATGTTATACTCACAAATAATCGAAGGTATAATAAATCAGTTAAGTACGAGTACGTCAGTTCGAATCTTCGATTTATCCTGAAACCCTCGAGAAACGTCGATATTAATAACACGATCTAGCGATGCATCCGGCGTCAAATGTGTGACTGCATGTACATATCGAATATTATATTTATTTAATATAGATATCGATTCAGAGTCAAACATTTAACGCTAAATGAACGACATAAAGACGAGTCGCCGCTGCAATAAGCATCGCAAGTACGAGCCTTTTACAATCGTTCTGAAATTCACGGAGGAAAAAGCTTCTATAATTTTGGAAGATAATTATGAATGACGAGTTTCCTTCGGGAATTTCAGTGACGACAAATTCGACGCTTACATGTGTACACGTATACGTATAAATATAACATCTACAAAAATGCATTCTCGTTTAAGTTGTGTGTCAATCGAGGAAGCGGTCATATTTAAATCCCTTAAATACACCGTTCCTTTGCTCGTTCGTTCGCTCGTTTTTATTGTACACACTGGAAGCATCTTTCTCTCCAAGAAAGGAAAGTGTCCACAACGTTGTTCAAAATGTTCCAAACGCTGAGTTTTTCATCACGCCTCGTCCAGTTCGTTTGATAAACAGCGAAGAGAGAAGCGAATGAACGAAGGAAGCGTGTCTACTTTTATAAAAAAAATCTGAGTTCTTCATCGCGTATGAATTATTGGAAATTCTAAAATACGATCATTTTAAAATACTTCTTATTTTTTCTAGAGAAGAGCCATCGTGTGTTAGATGATGCCTTATATTAATCAAATGTTAAAATTGATAAAATCTCAAAATATAAAAATATAGTGCAGCCCCTTCATTCATTTGCTTCTTGCAACTTCTTGTATTAAATGTAATACTATTATAATCTTACATGTTTTTAGTGATTATTGACTAACAGCACGCCTTTATAAAGTCTAAAAATTTAAAACTATTTTTGTGCCGTATCAGATTATTTTCGGGCATGTTTGGTGAGGTAGAATTTCGCGATATACGAAATATTTTGCGTGATTCAACGTTTGGAACTCGGCGAGAGCTTATTTGCTGTTTCTTCGCTATCCGCAAAAAGCACACACGTACATGCGTATATGCGAATGCTGATAATTATTTTGCCACCCATTTTGGACGGACGCACTTTTGCTCTTTATCCCATTTCAGATGTTTTAAGAACCTAACAATATTTTTGTCAAGAATGTCGTCGCTGCTTTACAATATTGCACGAATTTTAATAACTTGCACAACTTATGTATTCATCTAAGGCCTAATAATCGCAAGGAACGCGACAAGAAAGAAATGCGAAACCCAAAGACGCGTTTAAAAAAAAAAAAATTAAATGTATTTTGCTATAGACTTGATGTGCTAATCCAGAAGAAAACATAAAGAATACAAGAATACAATTCCTAGAATTACAAAAATGAAAGAAATAGTATTTTCTAAAAGCATAATACGCATTGCAGAAGTATAACGCATTGCAGTGAAATAGATTATAATTTTATCACGAAAAATATAAAGAAAATTTATTGCAACATGATTTGTTACAATTTTTAATATTTGGCACGTCAATTATATTAATATTATATTATTATGAATCTTGGCTTTGCAAAAAATATATAAAAAAAGAAAATAAATGGAGAACAACAGAAAATCTAATAAGAAAAATAATTTACTTTCTCTCTTTCTAATAAACAGAAATATTTTAAAATAATACTTTGAATAATATTTTTTGATTAGGATATGAATTTTTCATTTTTGTAGATATTGGTCTTATCTTCCAAATTATAAATTTCTATTATTATTAAACAAATGAAAAATATGTGTATGAAAATAACTAAATTTTCTAATTTTCCTAATTTTCATTAAATTATTATTATATTTTTGAGACAATCAAAGCCGACTAGCTAAAATAAAAATAAAGAATCTTTGATTAAAAGAAACCATAGAAATAAAGCTCTTGTACAACGCGTTTGTTAGAAATTATTTTTTAAATTCTATATAGAAAATTTTCAAGAAGTAGAAATTCTAAAACACAATTTGTACAGAAATTAATAACATAGACAACATAGAAATAAGAATGAACAGGGAACCCAAAATAATTTAATATAATTGTTATACATATGAAGCTCGGAATCGATAGTGACGTATTTGATCAGTTTCAAGCTAAAAAATAGACGATTTTTACGGCTGACCGAAAGCAGGAAATTTTTGTCTATGCCTATTCAGATCAAACGATTTACGTCGCTTCCGAAGGCACTGATTCCTTTTGCTCACGAATATTTAAGAATATGTCCGTCGTAAGCGTGACACTTTTAGAGCTATATACAAGCGACTTGGACTACATCAGCGTTTCCAAACCATTCCTCTCTCGGAAATGATAACTAGAAAGAGTATGCGACATTATCGCGTTTCCCGCTCTTAAGAACCATTGTTCTTCCCATGATTGTGCAAGTTCGGCCTTAATGTTACTGCGCCCTCGACCCAAAAATTTGGTCTCTCGAGCATGTTCTGCCAAAGAGACAATTCGCGACCGGTTGCGTCCATCCAATCCACCGGTTTCCCGTAATGTTTTCCTAAAATGGAAATTCGCATTTGTATTATTATCAAAAAAACATAAGAAAATATCATCGTCAAACTTTTAGAATATAGCAAGTTAAATTGGAAGAAGCACAATACTTTTTTATTAATTAAATTCTCTTCAACTAAATTTTGACAGAATATTAGTACAGTCATTAGTATGACAAAGTAGTTATATCTCACTTGTAATAAAAAATTGTATTAATAAATTCAATTTAATGAATAAAAGAAATAAATAATCATGTTATACAATTTAGAGTAATGATTTTATATACGTACCGGTGCCGAGATTAAATCGAACGCCGCCAAGGAATTCGTTGCTAGCGATTCGATCATGATCCCAAACTGTTAATTCTAATCCGCGTTCTGCCAATTCCTGTAAACTAACATCCTTGTAGATAAACGTGTGGCCCCAAACCGGCGAGCCGCCAGATCTGCGAACGACACCGGTCTTCTGTTTACCGGATCGGCCTTTGTCAGGGAGTAAATAACTGAAATAGATTAGCAGATGATAAGAATTTTAGTTAAAC